GTTGGTTCCCAAGACAGAATTGTTGACGTTCCAGTGAATCTCTGGGAAGCTGGTTGACTTGTGGCTTCAGTTGCAACACATTGCTGATTGCTGGGAGCACTTTGGCTCCTGACAGGTTTGTTTAATTCTAGCTGGAAACCACGGCGGTGCTCCCTTGTAGACTCAGTAGAATATTCCCAAGCATTGACAGGTAAAGTGAAGACTGAGCTTGCAGAGTCTTGTGACTCTCTAGAGGACTCACAAAGTTGGGGTTTGTAGCTTGAAACTGGAAAAATGCTGCTCTCTGTCGCTGTTTCATATGAGGTAACCTCAGTATATTCTCTAAATTGTCTACTATCCTTATCTGATCCAGCATTATTCTTGTCCATCCACTTCAAAATCTCTTGATTAAGTTCAACCTTTTCCTTATAAGAGTCTGTCCTGGGCTGATTCTCATGCTGTGCCATTTCATATATCTCGTCAATTACCTCTTGCCGTTTCACTGGGCGGTGTTGTGATGAAAATGATATTGCCAATGAAGGTGATTTTTCTCTTACATCATTCCATGAATGTGGGACAGCTTCCAGGCAGTAAGTTGACTTCTCATCATGCTCTTGCAACTGTGAGTCAGAAAGTGCCCTTTCCTTGAGCATTGGTTTCTCAGAGAGCATATCAATTTGATCATGTTGGAGATAAGGCACAAAGTCCCCACTGGGGTTACGATTGTGAAAATGCATTTCAGGAGATTTGTTAGTCTGATTGTTTTCTAACTTATATTGGTTATGATACTGATAATTCATCAACGGCACAGGTCCATGAGGAGGATTATCATAATTACAAGTCACATTGAGAAAATATGAATTGTCATATGGTTGTTTGTCAACGACAAAATGATCGATGAGTTCCTTATTGTTAGCACGTGATTGTTCTGCATAAACCTTAACATGGAGATTCTGGGCCTCCCTATGCTGAACTGAAACTGGAGATGAAGAAGGAGATTGAATAGATAAGTTCTCTGGTATAGTGAGTGCCGGTATGAACTTAGCAGCAGGATTCTGAAACATGCTAACTAAATTAGCGGAAGTTGGACTATACTCCTTCCTCTCTAGTGTATGAACAGATGTAGGAGAATCCCGATGAAAAGTTGGACTATAATCTGAAGCATTTCCCAGCTGAGTTGATTGGCTTGCCACGCTCTGCCCACTGGAGCTCTTCCGAGGACTTACATCCAGCATGCCATTAACAGCGAAAACATACTGACAACCAGCATTGCTTTGGTCTGCGTTCCTCCCTTCAAAAGAATTTGATTTCTCAGATTCACTTGAAGAAACTAGAAAAATCCGCAGCCTCTGCGAGCCCCTGGATCTTTCCAGCTCTTCATATTCCTCTATCATGTGGAGAAGATCCTCATCAGAGCAAACGGATATGAGTGCATCAAGATCCTCTCCTGGTAGTTGGTACCTGATTGTGTGAGGATAATTACAAATAGCAGAAGTCTTCCTCATAAGTTCCTCCCATATAACATTCTTCCTAATGGATATAATTCTTGTCTCTCCACCCACATATCTGAGCTTCCCATCAACTGGCCTTGGTAGTATTCTTCCTGCAAAGCTGCAGAGAAATTTCATCTTTCCAGGGTTAAGATCTTCTGAAGCTCCTGGGCCATAAGGGTGGTACTTATGAGGCGACTCCATCACATAAAAGGGTGCACCATTTGGCGCCGGAGTAACCCAATCATGATAAGTTCTATTAAAAAATTTAATTGGTCTTTGATCATTTGTATCACGCACCATGTGATTTTTTAATGAACTATCACAATTGGCCTGGTTTTCAACTTTGGCTACTGGTCCTCCCGCAAGAACAAAATCTGAAACATCTTCAGTGTCCGCTCTCCTTAGCCCAAGAATGGTGTTATGATCTTCATAGACCAACCGATGGTTCTGGTTGAAGTTAAGACCCACTCTCCAAGGCTGTTGGAGATTCATACCACTTCTTACAGCAGTACGATCCCTTAAGAATTCATTTGAAAATTCCTCTCCTGTCTGGTCACAAATATTATTTACATTTCTATCAGTAACAGTGCTGCTGCCTGAGCCAGCATTGCTTGTTTCTGTCTGGAACTGCTGACCTAAAGCCCCAGGAACCTCAATTGTCATGGTTGAAAAAGAAGAAATATTCTATATACACCTCTAATTGAGAATTCTCAAGCCTACTTCTTTTCTTCCCATCACAGGTACAACTTGCAAGCATGCTCATGAATTTTAGCAAAATAAGACTTGCAGTCCTGTCGATAGACAGCCCAAAAATTCTCGTAGTGACTAGCTATCTAGCTATAGCATCAAATGGTTGTGTTCACACTACCAACTTTTTTGATACCAAGAAGTATAAAATTTTAAGAATGCTATAAGATTGCGCTGGCCAACCAACATCAAAAATTCTCTTTTTTCCAGCCATGGGATAAACATGAAAAAGGGTTTTCA